GTGCGTCATAAATTTCTTGAGTTAGTAAGAACTTTGCTTTTAGCACAATGCTGTGCTCTACCAAATTTTACATATTTATATTATTTGTGCCATTTTTAGTGTTGAAGTCTCAACTGGATTAAGTTGGTAGAACTAATATTAGATATTTCACTTTAATCAGAATGAACTTCTAAAATAAAAGCTTTACTTTATTTCTTTGCATTGAAGGGCAAGGTAAATCATTATTGGAATTAATGTGACTGGTTTTTATTTAAAACCTGATGACATTGATATAAAACAGGTGATTTAGTTGAGAAGATTTTTTTGTTATTGTTGCTGTTGCTAATGGACACAACATAACAGCAACTATCAGGTCATTTTTCATATTTGCACTAGAACAGGAGAAATGGAAGTGAGCAAAGTTAATCTAGAGCGTCATTTTGAATGCGGTGGTATCCAGTCCCGGAGCCACTTGTGGCTTTTTCACTTTAATTAAAATTAGTTGAATTAAAACTCAGTTCCTTAGTGTGTACTAAAAAAAAACAAAACACTCACTACCTTTGAGTTAGTTCTGACACACAGCGACCCTCTAGCACCCTGGTGGCTTAGTGGGTAATGTATTGGGCTGCTAACAGAAAGGCCATCAGTTCGAAACCACCATTTGCTTTGCAGGGAAAAGGTCAGGCTTTCTATTCCCATAAAGATTTTGAGTCTCAGAAATGCCCATGAGCAGTTCTACTCTGCCCTGTAGGGTCACTATGATCATTGAGATCGGTTCCCCCTTCACCCCCACCTTCCCCTTACCCTCCTGGTATGGCTTCTCATTATTGGTCCTGAGGGGTTTATCTGTCCTGGATTCCCTGTGTTTCCAGCTCTTGTGTGTACCCGTGTACATGATCTAGTCTAGCCAGATTGGTAAGGTAGAATTGGGGTCATGATAATAGGGGGGAGGAAGCATTAAAGAACTAGAGGACAGTTGTGTGTTTCATTGGTGCTGTACTGCACCCTGACTGGCTTGTCTTTTCCTTGTGACCTTTCTGTAAAGGGATGTCCAGTTGTCTACAGATGGGCTTTGGGTCTCCACTCTGCATTGGCCCTCATTCACAATGATATGAATTTTTGTTTTGGGCCTTTGATGTCTGAAACCTGATCCCATCAACACCTCATGATCACACAGTCTGGTGTGCTTCTTCCATGTGGATTTTGTTGCTTCTCAACTAGATGGCCACTTGTTTATCTTCAAGCCTTTAAGATCCCAGATGCTATATACTTTTATAGCTGGGCACAATCAACTTTCTTCACCACATTTGCCTATACACCCCTTTTGTCTTCAGTGCTCATGTCGGGAAGCTAAGCATCACAGGATGCCAGGTTTAATGAACAAATTGTTCTTGTGTTGAGGAAGTACTTCAGTAGAGGCCCAATTTCCCTTTTTTTGCCTTAATACTTAACATACAAATTTATGTACACAGATCTGTTTCCCTATTGTTATATATAAATATATTTACATATGTACAAGCCTGTATGTAGACCTCTATAAGTGCCCTTTACCTCCTAGTTCTTTCCTCTATTTCCTTTTTCTTTCCTCTTGTCCCACTATCATGTTTGGCCGTAAATCGTGTTTCAGTAATTCCTCTCGGTTACATTGCCCATGATCAAGCCCCACCAGGCATCCTACGCCCTCCTCGCCATTTCAATTTTCTTGAAGAATAGAAAATACTTAATTTTATATTAACTTGTACTTGAAACTTTTTTTCTTGGTACTACGAAAGAGTTTTGTTTTTTAATTTCTGCGTACTTTTAAAAGAATAGCCGAACGGTAAAATGAATAAGTAGTCTTACCACATGAAATAAATGATATAACCACTCTGGCAAGAACACTTGGACCACTCAGAGCTCTTCCAGGACTGCTCCACTAGCTTTCCTGCATATATATCTCATTTATTCCTCTGCATTCCATTTTCACTGGGCCCTCCACCTGGCACAAGTACCTCTCCGTTGGTGCACCTGTCTGAGACACCAGGAGTCAGTAGCTATTTATTTCAGACCCTCACTGTAGCCAGAGATGAATAATGAAAGGAGACTGTGGGAGGTGGTAGGGCATCTAGTACCCATCGACACTAGAGATGGCGATAGCTATCCCCAGGAACTCATGTCAAAATTCACTCTGGTGTGATCACTGCATGTCTTGCCTGCTGTACTTGAAAGACGGTGATAATAACATTGCAGCAAGAGAACTCCCAACCCTGCCATCAAGTCGATGCCAACACAGTGACCTGATAGGACAGACTAGAGCTGCCCAAGGGTTTCAGAGACTGGATTTTTACAGGCGTAGAAAGCTTCCTCTTTCTCCTGAGGACCAGCAGGTGGTTTCAAATGCTGACCCTGTGATTAGTATAACCCATTACGCCACTAGGGCTCCTTTACAGCAAGAAAAGGTTGGGAAAATGGAGATGGATTATCATTGATCATCTTTCAGGTTTAACCACGTGTTAGGTCAAGATCTCTGTTGATTTCTCTGTGGCACACATCTCAGAGAAGCTATGGCAAAGGCAGTAAGTGCAATGAGATCTAACAGATCCGCCCCAGCTACTAATCCTGCTGTGTCCAAACATGAAAACTCCCGGACAAATGCCCAACTCTCTGGTGCATGGACCAAGTATGCCCTGGGCACACGGACTTACAGCCCTGTTTCCTGAGAAGGAAATCCAAGCTCCTAACTGGCATAAAGTCATTTGCTACTGGAGGACCCCGGATTATCTGTTTCAGGTAAACTCCCCAAGACTTCTCACTTATGAGAGGATATCAAAGCCAACTGCTACTAGGGTTCCAGTTCACACACATACAGATTCATTCCAAGCAAAACCACTTTAAACATGTTTCTATACTAAGTGGATGGCCCCCTCCGAAACAACTCTTGCCTTTGTCGTTGGCTTCTAAGAGGACCTGCTGGCCAGTTACATTCACGGTACAGAGATGAGCTCGGTGTTTAGGGACTCCTAAGGAATAATCCTGAGATTTTCTAGAAGGACACAAGATGATCATGAAGGCTTATTGGGAAGATGCTTAAGAATATGGAAAACTGCAATGGTGAACAAGGGCCAGGGGAGTTGTGCCAAGGAGATTTTGTCCCCCTCAGGATAATGTACCTGCTCTTTATTTGAGGGTTAATCTCTGCCGTCTTAAGAGAATTTGATTAGGAAACCTTATCCCATTCACTCTATACCCTCGGTCTTGCTCCTTCAGACTTCTTTTTGTTCCCACAGCTCCAAGTACATTGAAAGGAGTGTGGCTTGAGGCCCTCAAGGAGAACACACTGCTGTGTTGACATGGTGTCAGTCAAAGAGCACAGAACTTTAGAGACAAAAATACCGACTTCTGAAGTGTCTAGACCTAGTCATAGGGCACATCGAGAAACAATAGCTTAACATTTGAGGGTTCTTGTTGAATTCAAGTTTCAGATTTTAGAGCAATACTTTTGCTTTCCTCGTGGAATTTGGCTCATGTTTGAAACGCCTTACCCGTGTTATATCTAGTTCTACTTGTCTTGACTCCCAGTGTAAATGCAGGCCTACTGCAGAGATACTGGGAATTCAATTCCAGGCGATCTCAATAAGGCGAATAATGAAGTAAAGCAACTCCCAGAGATTTTTTTCGTTTTTGTTTTTCAGTGTAAAAGTCAATTTACCTTCGCACTGGTCTGTAGTGGGGAATATTGTGAGGATGACCAACATGGGTTGGAGACAATATGGAGTGAGCACACACTGTTGGAACAACTGCTTCGATTGTCTTGCTTGACACAGGGTCTTGACCTCAGCTCTTCAGTTTGTTTAAGAAAACCATTCTCTATAAACTGCAGTAAAACAAGTTGCTATACCCCACTTTTGTTTTCAACCTTTATGTTTTTCTGGAAATAATCTTTTCAGAATATCTGTAGTTCTTATGGCTTCTCTTTTTCTTGTTGTAAAAAATAAAACTCTGAAACACATGGTCATGTCAGCATCTTTAGTGCACAATGTGGTGATGGCAGTTTCAGAGATCATGCTGTGCCACCACCACCCTCGTTGCCAAATTTACCGTCACCACAAACAAGCCATTAAACAAAAGCTCTTCCTCCCCTGGCTCTAATAACTGCTAACGAAACTTGATCTTGAAACATTTGAGAGCATGCAGTACATTTTCTTTTGTGCTTGACTCATTTCCGTTACCATAAGGTTTGTGAGCTCCGACCCATGTTGTAGCATAGGTCACGACTGGGTTTCTTTTTATGGCTTGCTGTGTGTGGCCCCACGTTTTGAACAAAGCACAGTCCTCTGTTGACGGGCACTCAGGTCGTTTCCACGTTGTCACTGTTGCGAGTAGTGCCGCAGTGAGCGCTGGCTCACTCGCCTGGGTCCGTGTTGCTCTCAGATGTCTTGGGTGTACAGTAGGAGTGGAATTGTTGGGTCATATGACAGTTCTGAGTCTCGTGTTTCTTAGGGAGCTGCCAAAATGCTTTCCATAGTTCCCGAACCATTTTGCATTTTTAGCAGCAGTAGGGAAGGGTTACAATTTCCCCACACCTTCTCTTTTACCAGTTACAGTAGGGTTTATAGGTATATTTGCTTTGGTGTGTGTCTAGATGACACATGCATTAATTGAATAAAATCACAGAATGCAAGAAGTTTAAAACAGATACATACTTACCAGGCCTCTGTGGTGTCATGCCCCTTGCTTGGTGCTTGCAGTGGTGATCAAAACATGGTCCTTGCTGTTACAGCCGTTATATATTCATCTGTCTTACATGTTTACAATTAAGTAGAGAATGTTAGGCTAAGGAGGAACTGTAGAAAGGGTTGAACTCACCATTCATTTTATAGAAGCTTAGCGGTTACTGACGTTAATGTGTGTACAATGAGAAAAACAAAAACTAATTAATATTTCAATCCTGTTAGAGACATTAATACAAAGGTGCCATTCCAAAAAAAAAATTCGTAGATCCAGGACAGAATGGCTTTTTAACGTGTGTATTTCTTTTGCAGTTGTATTGTGACTTGTGGAAGTGATGGTGACGTGAGGATTTGGGAAGACTTAGATGATGATGACCCTAAGTCAATTAATGTTGGAGAAAAGGCATATTCCTGTGCTTTGAAGGTAGGAGGTTTTTTTATTGAGTTCTATCAGGAGACATAAAATGATGTTGGAATGTAATTTATGCTTGAATGATAAGTTGTGTATAGATGTTTCGAATATAGAGGTTCCTTTTCGATTCTTATTAAATAATAATATGTAAATCTGTAAAATAATGCCAATAACTGCCCCCAAATTTTAAAGGTTAAGTTCAAATGGTTTACTAATGGTAATTAATGGGCATTAAAATGCTAGGAGGGCCCGGGACAGGCAATGTTTCTTCTCTTGTACGTAGGGTCAGAACCAGAGTAACTCATTGGTACCTCACAACAAAGAAGTGATCAAGTTAAAGTTCAGGAGTAAATGCTTTGCCTTTTATACTTTTTACATAGAAGCTTTACAAAAGGAATACTGCCTGCTTTTCTTTCTTTTAGAATCATTTTATTGGGGGCTCATACAGCTCTTGTCACAATACATACATACATACACTGTGTCAAGCACATTTGCACATTTGTTGCCATCATCATTTTCAAAACATTTTCTTTCTACTTGAGCCCTTGGTATCATTTTTTTCCCACCCTCCCTCCCTCCCTCCCTCACGAACCCATGATAATTTATAAATTGTTATTATTTTTTCATGTCTTACACTGACTGCTGTCTCCCTTCACCCACTTTTCTGTTGTACATCCCCCAGGGAGGGGGTTATATATAGATCATTGTGATCGGTTCCCAGCTGCCTGCTTTTCAAATTATAAAACTTACTAATTATGTAATGCCTTTAAAAATCCCTGAGTGCTGCAATTTGACTTTACCCTATTGCAAAAAAGGCGTATAATAGTTTGATTGTGGGAAATAGAGTCACACTCCAGAGAAGAACCCACTGTGTTTTCTGATGCGCTCTCTCCTCATTGAGACTCGATGTTATCTCTCTGGGGGAAAACAGATTCTTTTATGACACTCAGGAGTCCATAAAAATACTATCGGTTTTCTCACCAGTTTCCAAGGAAAATTTAGAAGCTAAAAGATTGGCTAGTGAAGAGGTAATTGAATTTTCCAAAGGTAGCAAATTTTTCTTGATGATGTGCACTTCCAGAAATTATACAATGGGTGATATTTTTCTCTTGACATGACCTACATTTATGAAGTTTTTCATTTTTTTACAGGACCTTGAACTACAGAAAATTTCCCAGTCGACTTGGGTTGGTTTTACCAATGTTATCGTTATTTGTCTTTTTAGAAAGGAAAATTGGTCACTGCAGTATCTAACAATACTGTTCAAGTCCACACTTTTCCGGAAGGAATTCCAGATGGCATATTGACTCGCTTTACCACAAATGCAAACCATGTGATCTTTAACGGAGATGGTGCTAAAATTGCTGCTGGGTCCAGGTAAATAAGATTCGTTGGCAGCAGAAAAGGAAATATTGTTGGAACAGAATAACTCCATTCATTGGTTTTAGGCTAACGTTTCTAGGACTCCCACGTCTCTTATCTAGTAAAGAGGTTGGGGACAAGCTTTGCTTCTTTGCAAATGAAATACTGAAAATGATTGAGGTAAACATGATTGACTTAAAATTTTGAAAAAAATATTTTTAGGTAGAAACTAGGAATCTTGCTGTTTCTCTTGATGCTGATTTGTCATTAGAAATATAAATAAACAAAGAAAGGATTGAGTTAGGGAGGTGGACTAAAAGGCATAGTGTACATTTATGAGTAGTGGGTGTAATTAGCAAGTAATGGAAGTGTAAGCGATACCTCAAGAAGGTTCAGAGGGCAAGTTTATATGCTAACAGATGAGGAAATCATGACTTGCGCTTTTAGCCTGTCTATGCAACCCGACTAGCAGGCGAATCATTAATCGAGATAGGAGACTTTCACAAGCTGCTAAAGAATAACGGCATTTACTTCTGGAGTTTTGGGCCCTGTCTTGTAAGAGAGACTTTTACTCACGGGCATTCTTCTTATCGTCCATAGTGACTTTATCGTCAAAGTTGTGGAGGTGATGGACAGTAGCCAGCAGAAAACACTTCGAGGACATGATGCTCCTGTCTTAAGTCTTTCTTTTGATCCCAAGGACATCTTTCTGGTAATCACTTTTCCCTCTCTTTGCTTCCTTCTGGGATGTTTTTTAAATTGTAAGAGAATTAAAATTTTACATCGTTAATAAAAGGCTAGTCAATATTTTAATTGAACCAGTCTTCCATGTGGAAGCATGGCTGTACGGGTAGAGAAATCTGTTGTTTCTCTCGACAGGCATCAGCCAGTTGTGATGGATGTGTCAAAGTGTGGCAAATTTCAGACCAGGTAAATACATGAATTTGCATTTACCATTTTTTTTCTCTTTCCTGCATAGAATGGGTATATATGAGGGGTACCCCCCCCCCAAAAAAAAGGATTATTTTTTCAAAGCTATGTACTTAAATTTTTTTACAAAACAACCTTATCACCTTCAAAGTTTCTAGAGAATATGTGGCTTCAAAGTACTCTCCATTACACTTAATACATTTGTCAAATCTGTGGTTCCATTCTTGGAAACATTTCAAATTTGCCTGTTTGGATGGCTGACAGCACCTCTCATTTTTTTCTTCACCTCTTCTACTTTATTAAATCATTGTCCTTTGATGTTCCTCATCATTCTCAGAAACAAAAAGAAGTTGCACAGAGTGAGGTCAGGTGAGTCAGGTGTGGGGGGCAAGAAAGGCATGCTGATTTTTGCTAAAAACTGGCACACTGAGATGGCTGTGTGAGCAGGTGCATTGTGGTGGTGGCAAAACCGGTCCCCTATCTGCCACAGGTCTTTCTTATCGCACACTGTCATGCAATCTTTTCAGAACCTCTAAATTGAACGCTTGATTAACAGTCTGACCTGGTGGAACAAACTCCAAATGTACTATGAGTTGATATTTTCATCCATTCAGGAAGTTGACAGAGGTCCAGAATGAGGGTTATCATCAATTGACATTTCACCTTTTTTGAAACGAGAAAACTACTCATACACTTGAGTTTTTCCCATAGCACTGTCCTTGTAAGCTGTGTTCAACATCACAACAGTTCCTGCTGCATTTTTTCCCAGCAGGAAACAGAACTTCACAGCTACATGTTTAAGTCAGCCATTACAAAAAACGAGGTTTGAGCAAAACTGCTTTTACAAAAAAATCCACTGACCAGAGAGAATCTTCCCAGGTGATGCCACTGAGTGCACCCACTCAGCAAGTTGCTGGATGCTCACTTAGTGGGAAAACTGCGTACTCTGAGCCCCCGCTCTGCTGAGTGCAATTCTGTCTTTGGGGGAGTATCCCCTCGTATATGTTGTATAACTAGGTTAGATTATTGATTCACTTTATCTCTTTGAATAGCTTTAAGTATGCTTTTGTGCTCAAATTCCCTAAGAATGTAATACAAAATAAATATATTGTAGACTTTTTGCTTTTGGTCACATAGGGAATGGTAGATCTGTGTTTCATTTTTAGGTTTGTGAATCAAAAAAGAAAGTTCAATCACTGTATATTTACAAAGCTTCTTATATGTTGGGCCCTGTGGTACATGTTGGAGATAGCGAAATAATAGAAGACCCCTATTTAATTTTGAGGATTACGTGAACACAGTCTGGTAAAGGCTTTAAAAGATACACAAAGAAGTGCTCTGGAATGACAGGGAGCAGTTAATTCTTTTGAGGGGTTCAGAGAGAGCGTGGCGTTGCTAAAGATTATGTGGTTTGCAGAGAAATATCCCCTATAGATACACCTCAGTATCAACCACAGCCCCCTACATTCTTGAATTACTCAAAGGATTGATTTTGCTACTGTGGCGATTTATAGGAGAGCTCTAATTTTGTAGATACTGTATGGTTTTAACACTGGTCATTTGTTTTTAACTTTATTCAATAACTATATTGCTTGCCTATTTTGTATAGGAATAACTAAAAAGTATTTAGCCTTGTCTCTTCATACTTCTAGAGAATTTTAAACACTTCAGGCAGATAAAATATATATTAAAGTGAATAAAGTTCCTTTTTTTCCCCCCTAAAAACTGCCACAATTTGAGAGTACCATCTAGTACTCACTTCTGCGTTTGTTTTTCGTGAGAATTTTGTTAAGGGGGACTTTGAACTTATTTTTTCTTTTTAATAATTAGACATGTGCTGTTAGCTGGCCACTGCTACAAAAATGCAATGACATGATCAATGCAAAATCAATATGCAGACTTGCTTGGCAGCCTAAAAGTGGCAAGGTAAGTGACTCATATTTTTCAACCTTTGTGTTTGTTCTAGTTCTGTCAGCTTTGATTGTAAGACTGAATTTTCAAATTATAACTATTTCATTTGTATTACAAATTTTAGAGCTCCAAGCCAACTAATTAATACTGAAATGATTTTGAAAACATTTCAAGGTTTTAAAGATTCTTTTTAACAAGTACATTTAGCATGATTGAATTGACTTTATACTTTACAGTAAGTTTACGCTTAGTGGAAAAATTATGGAAACAGTTTCCTATCACTCAGAATTTAGCATTTTGGAGATACTAGCTGATGTAGTTAAGCTTCACAAAGAAACGAGAGGTTTGAAAGGAGAATGCTTATTATTTGAAGTGAAATGCCTATGTACATAGACATCCCAAAAAATCAGGTGAGGAAGAAAGAAAGTCCATTAAGGTGACTTAGCAAAAGCAATGTACAAAACCAATAGCAATCTTACTTACAAACCTTAGCTTTTTAGAAAATATAGTGGAAGATAGTAATCTACTTAATTTGAATTAAAAACACATAATGGGAAGGATAAACTTACCAGAAATATGAAGCATCTATATTAAACATTTTACACACCACTAAGGGACATAAAAGACTTGGATAAATAATCTATCTTGGTCTTCTTTTTTTAATCTTGTACTTTTGATATGATAAAGATTTCAGTTCTTAAATGAATCTATAATTTTAACAACATTCAAATATAAAATAGCAATGGCAAATTACAAAATCTTTGAGAAAAGCTAAAGTCTTGGAAAAGAAAAATCATGAGAATCTAGTAGAATCAAATATTAAAACATTCCGAGCTTTTCAGAATCTAGTTTGCTGTTGCCTCGTGGATCGGCTTATGCTGCTGCTGGCTGCGGTGAAGTCCACCCCGTTCATAGTGACCGTGTGGACAACCAACAGGAAGAAACACGGCCTTGTCTGGTATTGTCCTCAAGGTTGAGCCACTGTATCAGTCCATCTCACTGAGGGGCTTTCCCTTACTTGTTGACCTTCAGCTTTACCTGACACAGTGTCCTGTTTCAGGGACGTGTTCCTCCTGGTGATGTGTCCAAAATAAATTAGATGAAACCTTGCCATCTACTGAGGACTATTCTGGCCGTACTTTTCTAAGATGAGTTGTTCATTCTTCTGGAAGTCCATGGTATACTTAGTATTCTACTCCTACAAAACCCAAACTCACTGCTATTAGGCAATTTAGAGTCATAGCAACCTTTTGGGCAGAGTAGAGCTACCCCTGTGGGTTTCTGAGACTGAAAGTCTGTGGGAGAGTAGAGCGCCTCATCTTTCTCCCAGGGAGTGGCTAGTGGTTTCAAACTGCTCACCTTGTAGTTGGCAGCACGATGTATAACTCAGTACACTACCAGGGCTGTGCTGTAATTTAAAGGTATCAAATTTTCTTCAATTTTCTGAAGTAAAATATTAAAGTGTTATTAGGTTTCGTTGAGCCCCTTCCCACGTAGTGAACCTGTGGACAATAGGACAGAAACCCAAATGACCCAAATGGAAGAACACACCATTTCTAAAGCTGTAAGAACTAGACTACGGGCCAAGTGTGGTACGATGCAGGAAGCATCAAAAGAAGATGCAAGAGTATGGAAATAATTTATCAAGGGGTCGCGAGGGCGGGGGAGGGGAAAAGGAGCTGACACCAAGGGCACAGATAGAAAGTGAATGTTTAGAAAATGATGGCAACATATGTACAAATATGCTTGATACAATTGATGTATGGAACGTTATAAGAGCTGAAAGAGCCCCCAATAAAATGATTTAAAGATAAAAAAGAAGATTGAAGGAATACACAACAACTTTATCAAAAAGAACTGGTTCACATTTATGCATTTTGAGAGGTAACATACAATGAAGGACTTGAAACCTTTACTGATGAGAGTGATGACTGTAGCCTTCATTATGAACTATACCTCGACCTACGACAAAAATGCTCACTATTGGACCAGTAAGTCACATCACAGTGAATGAGGAAACTACGAAGTTGTCGACGATTTCATTTCACTTGGAACCACGGTCAAGAGTCCGTGGAAGCAGCACTCAAATAAATGAACAACATATCACATTGGGCAAATCTGCTGCAAACACCTTTTATTTTTATCTTTTTAAAATAAATCATTTTATTGGGGGCTCTTAACAGCTCTTAGAACAAGCCATACATCAATTGTATCGAGCGCATATGTACATATGTTGCCATCATCATTTTCAAAACATTTTCTTAGTTGAGCCCTTGGTATCAGCTCCTTTTTTCCCTCCCTCCCCACCTTCCCACCAAGCACCTTTTTAAAGTGTTAAAAAGCCAGCATGCCACGTTGAAGAATAAGATTAGCTGACTCAAGCCTTAAGGTGCTTGTGCAACATAGATAATGAATAAGGAGGACTTAAGAAGATTTTTTCTTTCTTTTTAAATTATGGTGTTGGCTAAGAATATCTACTATACCTTGGACTGTCAGAAGAAACAAATCTGTCCTGGAAGAAGTGCGGCCAGAATGCTCCTTAAAAACAAGGATGGCAGGACTCACGGGCTTTGAGCATGTTCTCAAGAGGGACCAGTTCTAGGGAAGGACTTCGTGCTTGGTGAAATAGAGGGTCATCCAAAAAGCCAAGGCCCTCAGTGAGATGGATTGACGCAATGGATCTAAATATCAGCTCAAACTCAGCCAGCACTGTGAGGACGGCACAGGAATAGACAGTGTCCCATTATGTTGTTTATGGGGTTGCTGTGACTCAGATCTGACTTGATGACAGCTAACAACAGCATGTTTGCATATTGGGGAGTAGAAATAGGATTTAAGGGTACATCAAAAGTGTCTTTTAAATATACTTTATGTCTGTGAACTGTTAAGAGAGTACATTTTCCACTGAAACTAGTAGCTGAGCTCAAGGAAATATGGAAGATATTTTTCTCTTTATATAACAGTATTCTCTGTAACTTAAAAGTTAACTAAATTAACATTGTTTTAATGCTCACTAATAATGCATTTAAGGAGCCCTGGTAGTATAGTGGCTTACGGATTGGACAGCTAACTGCAAGCCAGCAGTGTGCACCCCATGGATACCCCAGTGGAGAAAGATGGGGCTTTCTGCTTCTGTAAATATGTGCAGCTTTGGAAATCGAAAGGGGCAGTTCTTCTGTGGTTCACAGGGTCCTTATGAGTAGTCTTTGACTTGATGATGACTTTGATTTTCAGTTTGATTTAATGTTTGTTGCAAGCTATTCAAAGAACTCTAGATTGATTTCCTTCTAGTAAATGGGTTGCATTGTTTTAGATCTAAAGGATTAGATAACTTAAAAAGTAGTATTATAAAATACATTGAAAAAACACACAACTAATCCCATTGCCGATTTTGACCCAGTGCACCCCTATACGATGGAGGAGAATAATGAGAATAATGCTCCATTGAGTTTCCGAAGCTGTAATCTTTACAGAAACAAAATTTCTCTTCTTTCTCCTGTAGGGTGGCTGGTGAATTTAAACTACTGGCTTTTCAGTTAACAGTCAGTGCTGTTAACAAGTACTTGTGGCACCAGGAATACTTTATAAAATATTAATAACTACACATTTTTTCTTTAAATTTTTATTGGGATTTAGGTGGGAGGTCTACATTTAAGATCATCATTTTTGTATTCAACAACTTAATTGGGATTTAGGTGGGAGGTCTACATTTAAGATCATCATTTTTGTATTCAACAACTTAAACAGCTTATCAAGCATCCCAATAGCTTGCCTTGTCCTCCCTCCCGATTTTCTCCCCTCTCCTCCCTCATGGGTGATCTTTTACCCATTCTTTGCTTATAAAAATTTCAAGTAATAATTTTTGTTAGTCTCAAATTAAACAACAGGTTTTTTTAATGTCTTTAAACTTTAATTGGGTTAGTTTTCTAAATACTCTTTTTCTCCCCCCCCTCCCTATAGATTGAATTTAATGTAAACTTTATTTGTATATCTTATTAGTTGCTGGCAATTCCTGTTGAAAAATCTGTCAAGCTCTATAGAAGAGAAACTTGGAATAATCAGTTTGATCTTTCAGATAAGTTCATCTCTCAGGTAAGTTTCATGTGTTATTTTCATAGGCTAAATAGAATTTTTGACGAGTAATTAGCCAACATACTGCCATCGAGTCGACTCCCACTCGTAGTTGTCTCATAGGACGGGTAGAACTGCCCCTGTTGGTGTCCATGATGAGACTAACTCTTCATGGAGCAGAAAGCTGTATCTTTCTCTCGGAGCGGCTGCTAGTTTTGAATTGCTTACTGTGTCCTAGCAGCCCAACGTATAGCCCACTGCTCCACCAGGGTTCCTTACATACACAGTTGTAGTTGAACAACTCCAGGTGTTGTCAATATGTCCTCCTCCCACCCCTCAGACGTTTCACGTTGGCCAATATCTGGACAGTACTCTAGGCTCTACCTGGCCTCTCTTTCTTTGTGAGATATGATAGGAAAATCTGCCTTTAATTTATATGAAGTCAAATTTCACCCGGGTGTGTATCAGGATGGTGGCTGGGTGGGCACCTGTTCCATGTGCTTGGGTTGGATACATACGCAAGGATAGCAGGCACATCTCTGAATGACGATGCTGACGCGCCAGAGAGCCGGTCTCTGTAGTTGCATGATCAGTAACTAGCCTTTAGTGCTACCTGACTTCCAGTGAGAACTGTGGAGTTTGAGAGCAGCAGAAAAGGTTGATCTGTTACCATTCAGTCGCTTTCTCCTCCCCCTGTGTCTCATATTTTGCATACGTGTAAAAACTTAGACCTAGTATTTCAGCAATGGCTTAACAGGGGTCTCTTAATAGTTCGCTTCAGCTTGGTGGTAACTGCTGTACCTTGTATTGCCGCCTTTCAATTCCTTTGTCAAGATGACAGATTTCCCCTTTTTTTGCCCCAACAGTTTTATTGGCATATAATTCAGAAGAGTCATCATCACAATCACTTTTTCTTCTTTCTTGTACTCATTGTTATTAGCTCCTCATTTCCCCCCATCTCTCCTGCCACACCCCCAAAGTTTTACATTTTGTTTTAAAGATTGTGCACGTATAATTTTTTTCATAGCCAAAAAAAAATAGCTGTGGATGACAGTTGAATGTTATTGAAAAAAAACTCAAAAAGCAAACAAACTCAAAAAGCAAACAAACTTTGTCCTGTCATTAGTGTATCTGATCTAATTAGAAGTTATAAAAGATAAGGGAAATGATCTTGGAATTTAGAAACAAAATGAGGGTTAGGTTTCAAATTATACAAAATTGGTATTTATTAACTGTTTTCTTTATAGACCCTCAACATAGTAACGTGGTCTCCTTGTGGGCAGTATTTAGCTGCAGGCAGTATTAATGGCTTAATTATAGTCTGGAATGTGGAAACTAAAGAATGCCTAGAAAGGTATGATTCAGTTTACCTTTTGTCGTGTGTGTGTGCGCGCGCGTGCGCCCTTAAAATGGACTTGTATCTCATGAAAGAAACCATATCTACTTCACTTTAACTTTCTAGCCACTCAGACCAATATTTATCTTTTGTTTCTTTACTGCTTATTTCTATTACTATTTTGTTTGTATTCCAGAAGTATTTAAAATTTACCATCATTAGATTGTTAAATGCAATTACATGGCCATTGGGTTGTCAAAAATCCCTTTAACCATTTCTTGTTAAAATTCACCTAAAGAACTGTATAGTTTATATTTTTCTTGACAGTGACTTTTTTATAAATCATTTTATTGCGGGCTATTACCGCCCTTATAACAATCCATACATCAGTTGTATCAAGCACATTTGTACATATGTTGCCATCATCATTTTCAAAACATTTTCTTTCTACTTGAACTCTTGGTATCAGCTCCTCTTTTATCCCCTCCCCCACCCTCGTGAACCCTTAATAAATTATAGATTATTGTTACTTTCATATCTTAGCCATCTGCTGTCTCCTTTCACTCATGTTTATTTTCTTCATTCCCTTGGGGGGGGTGTTATATGTCAATTATTGCAATCAGTTCCCCCCTTTCTCCCCCTTCTCCCCACTTTTCCCATATCCTTATGGTGTCACTACTCCTGTCACTGTTCCTGGGGAGTTTATCTGTCCTGGATTCTGTGTGTCAAGAGCTCTTCTGCACCAGTGTGCATGGTCCAGTGTAGCTGGGTTTGTAAGGTAGAACTTGGGTCATGATAATGGGGGTGAGGTGGGGGGAAGCATTAAAGAACTAGAGGAATGTTGTATGTTTCATTGGTGCTATACTGCACCCAACAGTGTTTTAACCTTTTTTTTTTTTTTTTTTTTTTAATTTTTAGGGTCAAACATGAGAAAGGTTATGCAATTTGTGGCCTGGCCTGGCATCCTACTTGTAGCCGAATCGCTTATACTGATGCAGAAGGGTACCTGGGGCTCCTGGAGAGCGTGTGTGAGCCCAATGGAAAGAAGTCGAGCAGTAAGGTGAGAAATCATGAGAGAAAACAGTGCTTCTTCAAAGTGTCTCAATGGTTAGATACCACCACCAACTGCATTCTTTTCATATCATTACATCACATGCTCAGGGCGGACCTGTTGTATAGAAAACTTAATGTTTAACAACTCTACTTAGCTCAGGGGCTTTTCCCTTCCATGTACTATCATTGTTTATTGGCTTTCCAAGGGATATACTGTGTGAAATAACACTATTTTAATATCCTGATTGTTAGGCAAATGTTTTATAGCCAAATATTGGTATCAATAGCTGTGCTCAGCCTTATTTTGACCTCTAAACTTTTTGTTGTTGTTGTGGATTATCCTTAAGTCTTAGGCTACCTGTACCCCATCTATGCTCAGTTCCCTACCTTTACTGACTGAACTACATTAAGCAGACCAGGTTATTTTATACTTCCTTGCTTTTTTGTTCATTATTCCCTCCTCTTGGCAAGTATAGATGTTCATAATTCAAGTCTTAATTCTGGTTAAAGATAGAGATTCTGTATGTGCCTCTGCCTCTACTGCTCCTGAATTCTCCACTAAAAAGACATTTGAGGAATGTTTGATATACATAATCCCATAAGGATAAAAATCAATGATAGTTACAAAACCTTAAAGGCCAGGAGGTAGAAGGATGATTGCAAACTAACTTTAACATCTCAGAAAAGTTGGATCCCAAGAATGCAATTGGGAGAGCGGAGATAAGTTGGCCTGGTTGAATCTCCAAAGATTCAGAATTTGGTACGGCCAGCTTCTGCTAGAAGTGGGACTGAAAGGAGGAGGATTAGAACTCAAACTCACCGCCATCGAGTCAGTTCTGACTCACAGCCACCCTTTGGGACAGGCTAAAACGCCTGAGCTCTTTATGGGAGTAGAAGGCCTGGTCTTTCTCCCAGGGAGCAGCTGGTGGTTAACTACCCTGTGTGTAGCCTCTACCCCATCAGATTCCTAGTTATTCAAAGATATTAGATACCATTATTCAACCATGAGTAGCATATTTGTGATCATAACGTAACCACTATATTGATCCTACCAATTTAAGAATCTTTAAAGCACACCATTTTCCTTCAGTCAGTAATGTGAAAAAGACTGAATTGACGTGGTTAATGTCTCACCTCTCACTGAGGGAAATTGATATAGTCTCATAGACAATGCTTCATTAAAACTGAAAAAGCAATAGGATATTATTTATAAAAATTTAGGCAGTCAGGGTGCAGTGCAGCAATGATGAAACATACAACTTTCCTCTAGTTCTTAAATGCTTCCTCCACCCCCACTATCATGATCCCAGTTCTACCTTACAAATCCGGCTAGACCAGAGGATGGACACTGGTACAAATAGGAACTGGAAACACTGGGAATCCAGGACAGATGATCCCTTCAGGACCAGTGGTAACAGTGGTGATAGCTGGAGGGAGGTGGGTGGGTGGGGTAGAAAGAGGGAACCGATTACAAGGATCTACATATAATCTCCTCCCTGGGGTATGGGCAACAGAAAAGTGGGTGAAGGGAGATGTCAGGCAGTGTAAGATATGACATAATAATAATTTATAAATTATTAAGGGTTCATGAGGGAGTGGGGAAGGAGGGGAAAAATAAGGAGCTGATACCAAGGGCTCAAGTAGAAAGCAAATGTTTTGAGAATGATAACATGTACAAATGTGCTTGGTACAATGGATGTATGTATGGATTGTGATAAGAGTTTTACAAGCTCCCAATAAAATGATTTTTTAAAAATTTGAGGAAACTTTCGAAAGAAGCTAAAAGGACTTCCTTTTACAGGGAACGAAGTTAGGGGACATCAGAAGAATATTAATTCTTTTTTATTTTTTTTATTTTATTGGGGGCTCATACAACTCTTGTTACAATCCATACATCAATTGTAACCACATATTGGTACATATATTCCACCATTATTTTCTAGACATTTGCTTTCCATTGAGCCCTTGGGATCAGCTCCTCTTTTTTTGCTTCCCTGCCCCCACCCACCTCCCCAAAATTGTAATTCTTATTAAAGTGTTTTGACTGTATTCATTCATATATTTAAACATATTGGATATAGGAGCAATTATATTAATTATAAGTGATTATAAGACACTGACCTTAATTTCTAAATTAAGGGAAAAATTTTATAGTTCAAAGGTCACTTTTTTTTAACCCTACCACCACCACTGTACCACCCTTTACACACACACACACACACACACACCCCGAAACCTTTATTCTATTTCTATCCCTGTAGGTTCGTCTATCCCGGGTTTCATGTGCCAGAATAGAAACCTATAACACCACTTCATGGGGGCCAAGGTCACGTCTTAGTGAAACTTTGTTTACCCTTTCTGTCCAGAATTATCTACTCTATCTTTCTTGCTTTTATTCTTCACAGTGCCTAGTTCTGTCATGACACCTGTAACACATTATGGTCTTCACCATAAATATAAGGCAAATCTCCATTTTCCAATAAGAAAAATCCAAGATCAGTTTTTTGGCCAACTTGGATATATATAAACCTGTAGGGTCATAGATAGGATTGTCCAGGGTCTTGTAATCATTTATAATTAATATAATTGCTCCTATATCAAATATGGATAAATAGATGGATTTAGGAATACTTTGGCCTGCCCTCTCATTTTATTAAACATCAGTTTCACAGCGCACAGTCGTGTCTACTTCCACCCAGCAGGGTTGAGATGGAGTTCTCTTGTGATCTTTGAATCCTGTTCTCACTAGGATTTTATACCAAACTGTGTTTACATTGGCTCACTACTGTAGCTTCCATGTATTCCAGAGGAGTAACTTGTGATCCCTACAGAACATTTACATTTTAGAGTGATCTCAACGGCTTGTCTCCATTTACCTTGAGCACTTGGCAGCGAATGCCATGCTCCTAGTCCCAGAAATTAATGTTTGTTTTTGGTAAGCTTTTTTTGCTACCCTGATTTTTCTGTTGGTTCTTGACTTCTATAAGTTAAAACAAAAAAACTAGCTTTAACTGAGGACATTTAAAGCAAATTATTCTACCTCAGCATTATCTTATTCAAAATAAAGGTAAATGGGAGAGTGTTTCCTGATATGACTTTATAGGGTCCTGGTCATATTAATTTAAGGTGACTTCTAGGAAAACAATTTTTAAAATTTTAGCTCATTGTTGAGAATCATTTTTGAGGAATCAAACCTTGCTTTTTATTTTGGCATATACTGTATTTGTTTGCATGTCTGGTTCTATCCTCCTGCTCCACCATTAGATAAAACTATTTAAGGCGAGAACCGAGGCTTACTGTACTTAAACAGAAATGCATTTCTAATAAACATATTTACTAATTCTAACCTAATAGGGCATTTTCCTGCTTTGTAGAATTTACTAGGGTATATCAAGGATTGCCTTCTGAGTCATTGAATTCATGCAAATAGTTTGCTAATACAGTTTCATTTCTGTTAATTTGTTCAAGGTATCTAGCGGAGTAGAAGAGGATTACAACAACCTCTTTGATGGGGATGATGCGAGCAATGCTGCTGATTTCCTGGATGACGGTGCCTTTGAGACCCCCTCTTTCTCGAAGGGGGTTGTCAGTGATAATGAGGGTGATGAGGACTTCATGCTGGCTTCAAGCCGTTCGAGACGGAGAAGTCACATGCTGGAAGATGATGAGAACTCCGTTGGTATGAATCTGCCTTTTGCATGTGATGGTCTGCTCTGTTGATTAGGATTTCTAATCTTCCATTAAAGCGCTTAGAGGAAATTTATGGTAGTCAAGGCTTATATTTTTAAAAGGGGTCTCAAACCAATGTTCTATGCTACTACCTTAATAAGCTAGAAAACTAAGAGGAAATTAAATCCCAAGCAAGCAGAAGGAAGGAAACGAGCAGAATTCAGGAACATTGACAATATAAAGTACATGAAGAAGTCAGTGACGTCAAACACTGGTTCTTTTAAAAGATCAATAAGTAAGATTGCTAACTCTATCCTAACAGGTTGAAAATAAACAGAAACCCCAAATTGCCCATGTGGATATAGATGAAAGAGGACCATCATTGCAGATCCTATAGACATGCTATCCAGTATGACAACTGCTGACCACAGGTGGCCATTGAGCATTTAAAATGTGGCTAGTCTAAGTTGAGATATAATTATGAAATGCAACCAGATTTAGAAAACAAAATTTTTTTAAAGAAAAATATTTCAGTCATTTTTATTGAGTACATGTTGAAATGATCATAGTCATGTTGGGTTAATGCAGAGTATTACTAAATAAGATTTTAAAGTATGACTATTAGAAAATTTAAAATTACTTATGGAGCTCCTATTTCTGTAAGAACTGTGCTGATACTAAAAGGATAAGAGAATGTTGTGAACAATTTGTGCCCAGAAATTCCACAATAGAAAAGTAGACTGATTGCTTGCAAGACACTAACTGCCAAAGCTAACTAAAGAAGAAGTAGATAACGTGGACAGTATTGAATTTATAATTAAAAGCCTACTAATACAGTGCTTATTACAGCAACTTACATGCTAAACCAACACATTGGTAGGCGAAATACCAATGTGCAATAATAACTTGTATTACATTTGAATCATACATTTTTTTAGTGATCTTTTCTTTGCATTTTATTTTATTTTTTTTATTATTTTTAAAAAGCATTTTATTGGGGGCTCGTACAACTCTTATCACAATCCATACATCCATTGTGTCAAGCACATTTGTACATTTGTTGCCATCATTCTCAAAACATTTGCTTTCAACTTGAGCACTTGGTATCAGTTCCTCATTTTTTCCCCTCCCTCCCCACTCCCTCCTCATGAACCCTTGGTATCAGCTCATTTTTTCTCCTCCATCATGAACCCTTGATAATTTATAAATTATTATTTTGTCATATCTTACACTGTCCGGCATCTCCCTTCACCCACTCTTCTGTTGTCTGTCCCCCAGGGAGGGGTTTATATGTAGATCCTTTTAATCAGTTCCCCCTTTCTACCCCACCCTCCCTCTACTCTCCCGGTATTGCCACTCTCACCACTTGTCTGAAGGGATCATCCACCCTGGATTCCCTGTGTTTCCAGTTCCTATCTGTACCAGTGTGCATCCTGTGGTTCTAGCCAGATTTGTAAGGTAGAATTGGGATCATGATAGTAGGGGTGGGAGTAGGGGGTGAGAAGCATTAAAGAATTAGAGGAAACCCCCTCCCTGGGGGATGGACAACAGAAAAGTGGGTGAAGGTAGACGTCCGACAGTGTAAGACATGACGAAATAATAATAAATTATCAAGGGTTCATGATGGAGGGGGGAAAATGAGCTGATACCATGGGTTCTAGTAGAAAGCAAATGTTTTGAGAAGGATGATGGAAACGTATAAATGTGCTTGACACAATGGATGGATGGATGCTGTGTGATAAGAGTTGTACAAGCCCCCAGTGAAATGATTTTAAAAAAAAATAGAGGAAAGTTGTACGTTTCATCCGTGCTATACTGCACCCTGACTGGCTCCTCTCCTTCCCGCCAACTATATTTCTTGAGTGACAGGTTCATTTTGGTCGTTTTCAGGGTAATGTTTGCCACACACCCATACCTATGTAGCCATGATTTATCTGCCATGTGTTCTTTCAAACAAAACTAGTGTTCCATGAAAAGAGCCAGTAGTTCAACTTGTACCTTAACTAATTTTTATAACTGCCTTTTTTCCGGGATAAACATCATACTTCAGTGTGCACCAGAAGACTAGTTTTCAACATTCATGTATGCAAGGATCAAGATTTAATAAAATTAAAAACAACAACAACAAAACAAACAAAAAAAGATTTAATAAAATTATTTTTCTCCACTTTACATGAGTCCTGGCTGGCCACAAGGCAGTGGTGACAGTTTGTTGTCACTGCCATTGTTCCTGTTAAGAGTCACCCGCTGTTACTTTGGTCTCCTCAGTTCAAATGTTGCAATCAGAGAGGCAGGCTGGAACCCTTGAGCCTGAACCGAAAGGGTAGTAGAGCCCATAATGCTTTTTCTTTCTTCAGGCCACGGGTACTTGTGTGGTTCTTATTGTGACCCTTGGTATTCTAGATGTTGCATTGCCTAAAATGGGCTCTGGTCTTCTCAAAGAGGAGGAAGAAGATGATCAGGCGGACCACATCCGCAATTTATCAGTGGTAGCGTCCCAAAGGCCATTTTATGACGGACCTATGCCAACTCCCCGGCAAAAGCCATTCCAGTCAGGCTCTACACCCTTACATCTCACTCATAGGTTCATGGTAAGCCTTGCGTCTACTTTTACTTTTACATCGTTTCTAGGAAATTTTCACTGTCGGAATTTTTGTTAGTTGAAAAATGTTTTTTAAAAATCTTAATTAACTGGGCTGCAGCATTTTGATAAATTACAATTTTGTGGTTCATTTACTTTATGGTTAACTTAAAGTTTCTTCTTTCAACTCTATTGAAAATTATGGTAGACAACATTTTCTTTAAAAGATATATAGTATATATAGTGTGAATTTGATATATGACTATGTCTGGACATCTCTTTTGGCCATATTGCTAAACCTTATTTCTCGTGATATGCTAGTAGAGATGTGGATTATGCTAATTCTTAGACACGGGTTAGAAGTTAGCTCCTAGTAACAATGTTAGACTATAACATATTTAAAAAACAAAACAAAACATAAAGTAAAGCTGTCTTTTCCCCATACATTTGAGAACATGAAAAAGGTTCTAACTATTTCTATTTCCGGTTATTTGAAGTTTCCCATGATGAGGGCTTTGATATTCTCTTTGAAAGCTGTAGGACTGTCATGAATTTGTACCTAAATATTAAGGATGATACTGTATTTTAATAAAATTTTCATTGTCATCAATCATCATGAAGTAATAGACATTGAGGTTTTTGATAACTTTTCTAAATGCTTCTCAATGTATGTTATTTTAAAATGTACATAATTAATACTGTAACATAAGCCACTTGATAGGAACAGAAAAATCGGACCAAACTTGTAATGAACTACATTATTGAAGTGTTTCCTCTGAAGAATTTAATGGTTTCGTGGTTTAAGGGCCAGTTGTAATTCCTTTATAACTACCGTATAGCTTTGCTTTGTTTTTTTAATAAGATGAGGCCATGTCTTTTTCTCATCGAAAGACTGGTTTCTGTGACTTACACATTGAATAACTATTTATTCATTTGCACAACTTTAGCCTACTGGTTTTAGATGTTCCGGTTTTTCTCAGACTTGTGTTTCATCTTACGTGTTTGTAGATGTGGAATTCTGTTGGAATCATCCGCTGCTACAATGACGAGCAAGACAATGCCATAGATGTGGAGTTCCACGATACCTCCATACACCACGCAACACACTTGTCAAATACTCTGAATTACACAGCAGCAGATCTTTCTCAGGAAGCTATCTTGCTGGCCTGTGAAAGCACTGATGAACTAGCAAGGTAAGCACAAGATCATCAGGACAAATCTGGCATTGTGGAGCTGTTAAATAGAATGATTGGAATGAAAGACACGCAGTTAACAAAATATTCCTAACCTGTTTTCTTTACTATAAGGTAGACTCATACTTTCTGTAAGGAATAAGAAAAATGCACCCCAAAATGTTATGTCTTTCTAGCAACAGCCTGTAGAGTTCATCAGTTTCCATCTCTTACTTATTTCATTCTGGACTTCTTTACTTGTTTTCATAAATAGATTTAGAGAAACAATTATGGGGGAAAGCAGTAGTGGGTACAGTTTTGTTTTGTTTTTTTAAGAAGAAAATACGTAGTAAGCATTTTGTTACACCAGCCAACTTGCTCTCTCTCTCTCAGTCATAGAACTGATACATGTGGTATACTGATAATAACTCCCAGGTAATTTGGAGTGAAAATCCTTCTGATTGGTTCTATTAGCTCCTTGTTCCTCAGAGTGTGGTCCATAAACTAGGAAGAGTCACCTGAGAGTTTGCTGGAAATGCAGGAACTTCATCCCACCCTGCCTTACACAATCAGAATCTGCATGGATCGGGTTCTCCATTTACTGAGTGCACATTCAAGCCTGAGAAACACTTGAGTAGTTCACTGGTCTCTTCCTCTGTAAATTACTATGCCAATAGTTAGTGCTGCTGATTCCAAATGCTTGGAACCCATCCTGATACCAAGTAACAAAACCAAATCTTTCTGTTAGAAATTGTTTAAGAAATATAACTCTGGGAATATATCAGAATGTCAGCAGGGGTTAGTAATCTCACTAGTAGACTCCTGTGATACTCCCTCTGGGTGCTACCTGCCCCTGCCCTACACACACACACACACACACACACACACCTACACTTTTTGGTTCTACTCCCCCCCACCCCTCACTTTTTGGTTCTACCATTTTAACACCGAGCAACCCAGGAGATGCACTTATTAATTAAGCACTCAAGTGCTAGCTAAACAAGAAATTTGAGCCCAGCAGTTCGAACCCATGAGCCACTCTGAGGAAGAGAGTTGTGACAGTCTGCTTCAGTAAAGATGTGTGGCCTTGAAACCCCCATGGGGCAGTTCTGTGCTGTCTCTAGGGCCAGAATCAGATGTCCATGGGTTTCCTTTGGGTTGGTTTATAGTCACAAATTTTCACAGGAAGGAACCTGCTTAACATTTTGATGTTTCTTTTTTTTAAACAGTTGTGATTTCACGTGCTATGAGAATAGGGTGGTACTCCAGAGTGTTTCCGCCTTACTCCATTTAGCAGCGAGTCCGCCTTGTACCATGAAGTAGGCACCAAAAGCATGGCTGCTGGTCGTTTCAGTGTACGAGGGGATACCCCCAGAAACCGATGCCCGTTTGTTTTTTGATGTGAGGGGGATAGTGCATTTGGAGTTCGTTCCACCAGGTCAGACTGGTAATCAAGCTTTCGATTTAGAGGTTCAGAAAAAATTGCGCAACAGTGCGACAAAAAAGACCTGATTTGTGGCAGACGGGACTGGTTTTAGCACAGCGACAATGCACCTGCTCACACAGCCATCTCACTGTGCCTGTTTTGAGCAACAAACAGCATGCCTCTCTTGGCCTCCATACTTTACTCACCTGACCTAGCTCCATGCAACTTCTTTTTGTTTCCTTGAAGGAAGAGGGACTTGAAAGGACAGCGATTTGACAAAGTACAAGAGGTTAAGAAAAAAACGAGGGTGGTACTGTCAGCCATCCAAACAGATGAGTTTGAAAAATGTTTCCAAGAATGTAATCGCAGATTTGACAAATGTATTAAGTGTAATGGAGAATACTTTGAAGTTGATAAGGTTGTTTTGTAAAAAAAAATTTAAATAGAGCTTTGGAAAAAATACCATTTGGGGGGGGTGGTACCCCCTGATATGGTTCCTTTTAAGGCTATTTCATAGTTTTTTTTCTTTTTCTTTTTTTTTTGAAAGCATCAATTCAGGGTTCTTTATTCAATGTCCAACTTTCACATACACATGAGATAATTAAAATAACATGGCTTAAGTCAGGCACACTTTAATCCCCATAGTGACATCCTTCACTCTTTAAAAGTCTTAAAAATATTGTGTAGTAGACTTGCTCAATGCAGTGTCATCTTGAATTTCTTTATTTTTTAAATCATTTTATTGGGGGCTCGTACAACTCTTATCACAATCCATACATCCATACATTGTGTCAAGCACATTTGTTGCCCTCATCATTCTCAAAACATTTGCTTTCTGCTTGAGTCCTTGGTATCAACTCCTTATTTTTCCCCTCCCTCCCCACTCCCCTCTCCCTGTTATTTTCTTAAAGCCATTTCTTACACAATTAGTTGCTAACAGAAAGATGTGGTTTTGTTACTGGGTATCATGATCAGTTATGTATGTACATAAGTGTAAAATATGAAAGCTTGTTTCTGCCTTGTTTTCATTTTTAGCAAGCTGCACTGCCTGCACTTTAGTTCGTGGGATTCAAACAAAGAGTGGATGGTGGATATGCCTGCGAATGAGGACATCGAAGCCCTCTGTCTCGGTCAGGGATGGGCCGCCGCCGCCACGAGCGCCTCGCTGCTCCGGCTCTTTACCATTGGGGGCGTGCAGAGGGAGGTGTTCAGCCTTCCGGGGCCGGTGGTGGCCATGGCAGGACACGGAGAACAGCTTGTCATCACTTACCACCGAGGTACTTTATTCTTGGTCCTCGCGCTTGAGGAAATGTACCCTGCCCTGGCAAACGGAAAGTGCTGGTGCTTTAAATAGATAAATATTTTTTGTTTGCTTTGTGTTATATACCTTCTCTCACCTTTGTATTAGCATTTGCATCAATGCCATCTTTGATTGTTTGGGATTTTAGTGTTTACGTTCACTCACGGCAGTGAAAAGAATCTTCAAGAATTCGAAGCTAGGGGCTGGTTAAAGACGCCTGTGTCTAAATTTTAGTTTCTGGTGAGCAAAATAAACTGAGTCTTGGTGTGATGTACTAAAATTACGAGGGGATCAGAAACACGTATAGCTGGGAAAGTACAGGTGCCTTTATTAAACAAAAGGATCCAAGGGTGAGGCTGTCCCCACACTCGGGCACAGGGGCACTCCTGTGCTGGAAACTAATTCCTCAGTGGGACTTTTTTGTCCTTTTTCTCACGAGTGCAGTTTTCTTAGAATTTCTTCTTCCTCTGCCTGCCCCTGAGCTAGAGGGCCCCTGGTCATCTCTCTCTCGGTCAACAGGGGCTTTGAGAAATGCTTTTTACCCTGTTTGTCAGCACACACCTGCCACCTAACTGAGCTAACAGTCTCCAAGATGCCGTTTACTCTTCCCATCTCATCTTTCATAGATGCTGGTTGCAACTTTAAATTGATTTTGTGACTCACAAGTCAAAAAAGTTAGATCACCTTGGGAGTCGCATCAAGGCCTATGCATCCTAGTGACCATGACTCTTCACAGTGATACTGCCTGCTCTGACCTCGCCCTCTAGCTTTAGAGTTTAACTTGAAATCTCTTGGGACACAATAAAAATTTTGTTGGCTTTTTCCCCCCTTCCAAACTTGCTTCTTACGTAGGAGCCTCCCAGTCTCAGTAAATAGCATCCTGTCCGTGCAGTTGTATCTCCTCCACCAACAAGCACGCCGACTCCACTCAGTTGTCATCTCCTGGTCGTTTGTTAGAGCCTTCCAGCTTCAGTTCTTGCCTCCTACGATCTGCTCTCACGCAGCCTGGGTGTTCTTTTAGAAACAAAGCAGGTCATGCTCTTCTTCAAGGCATTTCAGAAAAGATTGTATTTGCAATAAACATCGGGGTTCTTACCATGGCTGGCCAGGATCAGCGTAATTTAACTTCAGCCTCATCCTTAGCACTTTTAGCCACCCTGTTCTTGACATGTGGGCTTCTTTGGCTTCCTGCAGTTCTCCAAGCTCGTTCCCACATGGGACCTTTTCGACAGCAGCTCCTTCTGCCTCCTGCAGTGCTCTTCCACCTAGCATTTGCTTAGCTGGCTCCAACTTGCAGTTCACATTGCAGGTCAATCTTCACACGCTCCCTGAGGCAGCCTCTCCCTCTCCATTTTCAGTAGCCACTGAGCTTGACCTGTGTCACATTGTTTCACACGTATCACTTGTTCTTGTTCATATGTTTGAGCTTATTGTATTTCATCCCTGTTCTTCCATCTGAGTAAGTTGCTTGAGAAAGGTGCCTAGCACACAGGAAGCTCTCCGTAAATAGTTTTCTTTTTAAAAAGCGGTTTTATCGGCACATAATCCACGTAGCATACAATTCAATAGTCATTCATTTCAAAGAGTCGCACAGTCGGCACCACAATCCATTGTAGAGCACTTTCTTCTTTCTTGTACTCATTGTTATCAGCTCCCCATTTCCCCCCAACCCCCCTGTCACACATCCCCCAAAACCATTAATCCAGTTACTTTCCCTAAAGACAAGTAAATACTTCTTGAGTGAGTGAATAACCACTTTATATGAATGACCCAAGTTACACAGTTGTGCTTCCAATACCCAAATGTTTCCTCACTTTAGGTAAATTGTTCATAAAAAACAGTGCTGCTTCATCTAGGATTGATCACAAAATGAATCCAACTAATAGGAAATAAACTTAGACGGCATAATAGCTGGGTAATTTTTTATGGCTGTTGTTAAGTGCCGTTGAGTCACTTGCGCCCCTTAGTGACCTTGTGCACAGCGGAAGGAAACACTGCCCTGGCCTGCGTGATCCTCGCACCATTGCAGGCAGTTTGTGAGTCTGTCTTGTCGAGTGTCGTCCTCCTCTTTGCTCCTGCTCTCCTTTACCAGCATGATGTCCTTCTCCGGGGCGGGGCTCTCCTGACCGCATGCCCAACGTATGTGAGATGAAGTCTGGCCGTCCTTGTTTCTAAAGAGCATTCTGGCTCTACTTCCAAGACAGGCTTGTTTGTTTAGCAGTCCATGGTACTTTTCATATTCCTCGCCAGGACCAGGATTCAAATGCACTGATTCTTCTTTGGTTTTCCTTATTCAGTGTCTGTCCCAACTATCGCATGCGTATGAGATGATTGGAAACATCATGGCTTGGGTCAGGCACATTTCGGGCCCCAAAGTGACATCTTTGGTCTTACACACTTTGAAGAGGTCCTTGTGCAGCAGATTTGCCCGATACAGTGCATCGTTTGATTTCTTGACTGTTGAATCCATGAGTATTGATTGTGGATCTCTTCTCGGTTTATCATGATGTTACCTATTGGTCTAGTTACACGGATTTTTAATTTTTGATTCCTGATGTATGTTTATGTTTTCTCACCAGGCACAGGCTTTGACGGGGATCAGTGTCTTGGAGTTCAACTTCTGGAGGTGGGGAAAAAGAAAAAACAGATCCTGCATGCTGACCCTCTCCCCCTTTCAAGGAAATCCCACCTTATGTGGCTTGGATTTTCAGCTGAAGGCAAGAGACCGTTCTTACTTTATGCATACTGCAGATGTGGTTAGGTAAAGTAGCTGTTGTTTTCTATAGGAGATCGCTTCTCGAGAATGTTGTAGACAGTTTACAAAGAGGGAAATAGATTTTTGTTGACGTGCTTGTGAGATAGCAAGGAGGAAACGATCGTCAGTGGTAATGTGTGGCTTTCCCAGCAGGTTCTAGAGAGAGTAGATGGGACGTAAGCTTACCTGTTTTCTCTTGATAAGGATTGCTGGGACAGGACAGGAATAGTCTAGGCCAGGGGTCAGCAAACTTGAAATTGGAAGAGCCGATCCTGTCCCTCACAACAATTTAAAATTCGAAAGCCATAAATATATTTTTGCAAATGAAATCAACATCTGAATAAAATCCTTAAATTTTTTTCAATTTTACTTAAGAGGCATCTGTGGCTGGAGAGTCGCATTTTGTGGAACCATGGTCTGGGCCAAGATAGAGGTAGAGGAGGAAGAAGAGTCCTGGAGACAAATTTTCATGACATTCCTGGTCATTTACCTGTGTTTGCCTCTTACTGGGAAGCTTCCGCATTCCTGTGTCATTTTTAAAAACTGGAATTGACTTTAAGAATACTACTGCTAAATTCCAGCAGGTGGCACAGTTTTCACTGACACGGTCTGGTTTTCCCTTTGGGTAGATCTTAGGTCTGTCACATGCGATGTTATTTCATCTCCAGCGGGGACTTAGTCTATGCACTGATGACGTTTCTTAAGAAATTATCTCAGATTTTGCTCTTTGTTCTGTTATGGTGTTACTGGTAAAATGAAAGCGGATTTGCTGGTCTATATTTTTGAGTAGAGTTTATGTAACGAGTGTGCAGCTCTGTCTCCACATAAGTTCTTGTTTTCTTGGTGTCCAGGTACCCCCTGCTACGTGGATTCAGAGGGCATCGTCCGAATGCTGAACAGGGGACTTGGGAATACCTGGACTCCCGTGTGTAACACCCAAGAGCACTGCAAGGGCAAGTCTGACCACTACTGGGTGGTCGGTGTCCATGAAAATCTCCAGCAGCTGAGGTAGGCTATCTGAAAGTGGTGCCCAGCGTTCACTCTGTGTAAAAACTACTTTCAAATTATCTTGTAATTATTTTCTTTTTCTTACCCAGCAGTTTTATTGGCACATAATTTTCAGATCATACAATTTAATAGTTTAATCATTCAATCATATCAATTTTAGAAGATTCTCCGTGACCCCCCCATGGGTAAATTGCCTTTAAAATGAGTTGTGCAAGCACAATCCATTCAAGTGCGCCGTGTCTCTTCCCGCCTCATAGATGTTTGTCTGTCATCAAATTAGGAGTTTACTTAGATTCACTTTGAAGTTTTTAACCTGTTCCATGACTTGAAATTGACTCAGGGCAATAGAAATTGAGTGTATTAGTGTGACCTTTGTGTCACTTAAGGCAGGCATGGAGGTGGGTGCTGTTTCTAGGTGAGCATGGCATTTTGTCTTTTAAACTGTGATTTCGAATGGAATGCCTATCACTCAGCTCCCCTTTGAGATTTCTGCCCTGATTATTATAAGGGAGAAGGCTGGTGGAAATTACTGCAATACATAATGGACTACAGATGTAGACTCTATGCCTGTATGATCTCATCTCTATTCTATAGAAAATTTCCCTTTTTTTCATACCTGCTATCTTTTTGGTTAAAGCAGCAGTTCTCAACCTGTGGGTTGCGACCCCTCGGGGAGTCGAACAACCCTTTCACAGGGGTCAGCCAGTTCATAACAGTAGCAAAATTACAGTTATGAAAATAATTTTATGGTTGGGGGTTCACCACAACATGAACTGTATTAAAGGGTCACGGCATTAGGAAGGTTGAGGATCACTGGTCTAAAGATTGTCAGCAACATTATATAGTTATTTGGTGAACAAAGAGCCCTCTGCTTTCGTGTAACTTGTAGTGTAGAAAGGTGATAAACAAGTACAATAATAATTATCCAAAAAGTTAACTTTGGATAAGTGCCAGTAGGTAATCTAAGCAGACCCAGGAAGGGGTATTCTACTTGGGGTGATTCTGAGAAACTCTTGGAGAAGGTAGCATTAACATGGCACCTGAAGGCAAAGACGTCTGTTAGGGAAGAGTGGACTACTTTGAGGACATGTCCTACAGATCAGCTCTTGCCATCATTGTGTGCCTTCTAGTAGATTCCGCTTCATAGCAACCTTCTAGAACAAGTCAGAACGGCCCATAGGGCATCCAAGGCTGTAATCTTTACTGGATCCTTTAGAAGAGATGGCTTCTTATTCAAACCACCAACCATTGGATTAGAAGCCAAGTGCCTAACACGGTCTACAGGTGATTGGTGTGTGCATTAGAGCTTGCCAAATGTTACTGCTAGCATATGTGGAAAGTGATAGATGTAAAAAGTTATTGACTTTGAGATTCCTGGCATTAACAAAAGACTGGAAACCTAAATTTCCATTTGTAGAGGAATAGAGAAATATGTCCTATACATGTAAATGGGACTATGTAGCTTTTTAAAAAGGCAAATTCTGTTTCTGATTGGAAGTTGTGCCAAAAATATATAAAGAACTTTTATAATTCAGTGATAAAAGGACAGACAACCCAATTTAAAGATGAGTCAGTGATCTGAGTAGATATTTCTCCAAAGAAGAAATGGCCAATAAAAGCAGGAAAATAGGGTCAATGTCACTGGTTAGCAGGGTAAGGATCTGCAAAGTCATAAGGAGATACCGCTTCATGCCCACTGGTCAAGGTGTCATAAAGTGAGTAATAGTAAGTATCGGCAAGGAGGCGATTGAACCTTCAGACATTGGAACCTTCATACGTTGCTGGGAGGAATTTCAAATAGAGTAGTTTGGGGCTTTCTCAAAAGTCTAAATGATTGCCATATAAGCCAACAATTAGTTCCACTTCTAGAATTGAAGACATACATACAGAATTGAAAAAATCCAAAACTTGTACATGCCTGCCATGGCAGCATTATTCATAGTCGTCCAAAAGTGAAAATGCAAGTACCCATCAACTGATGAATGGGTAAACAGTACATTCCATAATACTGAGGAACAGCGGTTCTCAACCTGGGGGTCGAACGACCCTTTCACAGGGGTTGCCGATTCATAACAGTAGCAAAGTGACAGTTATGAAGTAGCAACGAAATAATTTTATGGTTGGGGGGGTCACCACAAATGAGGAAGTATATTAAATGGTCGTGACATTAGGAAGGTTGAAAACCACTGCTGTAGAATATTCTGTTATAAAAAGGCCTGAAGTACTGCTACATGCTATAACATGTCTGTATAGCACATTCAAAATCAGCCCTGAAAACGTTATTCTAAGTGAAAGGAGCCAAACATAAAAAATTTTTTAAAATACCTATTTCAAGATTTTATGTATGTGAACTGTCCAGAAAAGCTGATCCAGACAGAGAAAGCAGATCCGTGGTTGTCGGGGGCCGGGGGAAGAGGATAGGGAGTAGCTGCTATTGGCTATTGGGTTTCTTTGGGGCTGATGAAGTGTTTTGAAATTAAATGTTGGTGATGGGTACACAGTTCTGAATGTACTAGAAACCACTAAATTGTGCACTCTTATGTATAATGCAGCTGTGATACACTATGCCAACTCATATCTCAATGCAGTGGTTAATCTTTTGTGAAAAAAAGGTGTGGGCCCTAGTGATGTGGAAAGATCTGTAAGGTATGTTCTGTGAAAAGCAGCATTTATGTACAAACAAGGGGAGAGAGAATAAGAATATATCATTGTATTTGCTTATACGTGCAAAATAATTCCCCGAAGAATGAAAACTAACAACTAGAGTCACCCTAGTGGAGAGAAACTCAGTGAATGGTGTAGGAGGAGACTTTATTCCTCTTTGTATTTTTTGAACATGTAAATGTAGTATTTGTTCAAAAATAAATTGACCTTTTTTTAAAAAAATGAAAGAATTCAGTCATCTGAATAAGATAAGCTAGCGGTCAAGTTTAAGAAGACTTCTTAATTTGGCTTCCTAGATGATATGACTGACCCTTATGAATATGATGGTAGTGTCATGATAAAATGTCAGGTGCCAGATTGGGTAAGCTTAGCACTTGGGAGGTAAGAAGTAGCCAGAATACAAAGATCGCTCTTGGGGAGTTTGGTCATGGAGAGGAGCAGAGACACAGAATGCTATCTAGAGGAGCAAGAAAAGCTACGGATTATTTAGCTTGGATGAATCTAGAGCATTTTTGAAAACTGTTGGCAATGAATTCAGTTGATTGGCTAAGATTGACAGTATAAAATAAAGGAGACAGCCAGAGTAATAAACTCTTACAGAAGGGACGGTCGATCTTGGACCATATTTCTAAAATGTGAAGATAGATATTTTTATTGGCTGTCATGAGAGAGAAGAATAAGGTGACCCCGATACTGGTAGATTTGGTAGTGGAAAGATAAGTGGGATTCCTATTCAGTAGCATGTTTTGTCAGTGGGTTGTGAAGCAAAGTTGGGGAAATTTATGAACGCAGTTGTTGGCGGTATGGGATGTTTGAGAAGTAGTTTCATAGACTGCAAAATTGAACTTTTTAGTCAAGAGCATTAGGGGAATTGCTTGCATAGTTTCTGCATATCATTTTATTTAGTATCTATCTGAAAGACTCTGTTGTTAACTGTTTTTAACAATTCTTAGGGTGTAGGTTAGGCTCAGGAAATTCATGTCCATTTCCAGGGGTCAGACTATTATAAAGTGATTCAAATGAAATAATTGACATTCTGTTTTTAAGAAGTGATTAAGTGCAGACCTAAAAAGGATTTTACTGCTCCATCAATACTTAGCCAAGTAAGATGATTCATTTTTAGGGATCTTAAAAGTGTGTGAAATTATTATTTTTTCTTTTTTCAGTTAGTGTTACAGGTATTTCATCTATCTCAAATTTGAACCCCTAATAAACTATGTAACTGCCTTTCTTAATCTGCTTTTCAGTTAAGATCTGTGAAGGATTTTAATTCTCTTTAAAAGCTGTGCTAATTGCTCCATGTATAATATTTAAGTATTAAATTCAACTTCGAATAAAGAAGTAATGGACTTGAAATTATAGCATTTAGGCGTAGAAGGATTTTTAAAAATTGCCTAGGGCAGTGGCACCTGGCATTTTAAAATGTAAGAGCCCTTATGAATGGATGTCAGAACATGTCCTAACCCCCAATAGTAGCTGTATGTTTGTAGTATCCTTGGATGGAAAAGCATATCCATAACGATGCAAAGCTTCCCTGAATTTAAGAATTCTATTTTGAAGCAAATTCCTGTTTCCAAATCATATCTACATGCAAGTGAAAATTCTGGTACATAAATTGGAAGCTATTTATTCCATCTACAGACAATTTGCGGTGTCTGTTGTAGACTGCTGTAATAGAAGTGCCCTAACCTGGCTTTCATGGATAGAAATTTACTTGCTCACGTGTTAGGAGGTGAGAGGTTGGAATTCACACCCCCAGTGCCATGACCTCATTAATAGACAAAGAAAACCGTGTTTCTAAATGAGATTACATCCACAGGCATAGGCTTTAGGATTCCACCATGGATTTTGAGGGGACACGCTGCAGCCTCTAACAAGCAGTACCTGTGCTAATGCATAAACCCTTTGTAATAGGTCGGCAGCCCCACGGGGGATGGGCACAGAGGATGGGAACAGCTGGAGGCTTGCTCATTTCCTCACCTGCTCCCCAGCTCTTTCCCCGTGTTTTACTCACGAGAACATGGAAGTTTGAGAAGATTAAGTACCTTGTTTGGATCACGAGTAGTTAGTGGCAAACAAACTATTTTGTTTTTTGCATTGAATTATAGGAACAGTGGGAGTCATTGATAAGTAGAATGGAAGAATAAGCACATCTCCCTGAGGGACCAGCTTATTGTGGGAGGATAATTGAATGACTTGAGTGGAGTCTCAGCAGAAATTTGTTCACTATGCAGTTGGTTTCAAAACCAGGGATCTACTTTGAAACAGTAAGAGGGTCGACTGAGAAATCTGCTCCTATATCTCTTTTTCCTTTTTTGCATAGTATGATATGTCGA